TGAAAAACTGTTTAACAAAAAAATTCTTATTTTACAAGAATTGAAACAGGTTTTATATTAAATTAAAATATTGAAAATGCATGGATAATTATTGTCAGAAAAATATGTTGGTGATGATGTACATTGAAATTTTTTAACTCAAAAGCTTAAGTGGGCAATATTTATTTTTTAACGTGTCCTGGTTAGAGAAACAAATCAAATAAACGATGGATTGGATCAAGCAGATATGTGGTTGCTTTGCTTGATTTGATTCAAAATTTCTTTCGTAACTTGCTTTCTGTCGTCTGCGAAATAAACAAGCAAATCAAATAAAATCCTTTCGAACTTAATTTAATTCTCATATCGGGTGATCACGAATTTATTTATTTATTTATTTCCGTTGCTTAATTTTTGCATTATCTGCGTGTTGTGTGGATGTACTGGTATCTTTTTATTGTTATTAAACATGTGAAATTAAAATATTTGTAGTGAGTTCTCATCAATGTCGTCGTCGTTATAGTTAATCTTAAGCAATATGTTAATGGCACGTAAAGGGATATGGTATATCCTAACTTAGTTTAATTTATTTCATTTTGCATAATTCTTCTGAAAGTTCGATGCTGTATTTCTATAATTATTGATAGCTTCTCTTTTTGTAATCTTTATACTTATAATCGTTTCTTTTTTTTTTTTTTATATAAGCATATATATTTTTCTATTAGAGACAATATCGTTTGACAAATTATCAGTACTAAATATGTGTATCCTTCCTAATAAAAATTCATATATTAATTTATTACGTTATACGATATTAGTTTTTTTCGTTAGACTTAGCTTCTATTAGTTTAGTTATTTCTTTTTCTTTTTTTTTTAAGACACAATAAGCTCTACACAAAGCGACAAACAATGAACCCCATAGGAATATCGCATGGTACTAAAAGTAAAAGCACTGCTAAATCTTTTTTTTTGAAAAAAATATGGCATGAACTATAGTGATTTGTTTTTCGCAGTTCTCGTAAACCGTTACAATTTATAAAATTGAAATTGGAACAATTTGAATTTATATTTTATAAAATATGTTTTATTATTATTTTAAATTACTGTGACTAAAATTTAGCAGTTTAATTTTATTTATTTATTTTTACAAAATTGAAAAAAATGGCGTAACATAATAGTGAAGAGGATCCTATCCGTAAAAATACTTGGACCCGCGTGAAAGGTGGGAGGCTTTTGGCGGAAAGGGGTGGGTGTGTGTAATAGATGACGCCCATAACTGCCGGGGAAATATTAGGACACAAATTTGCAGAACTTATCGTCAACGTTTATTATTTTTTTAATAAAATTTTGCATTATTTTTAACGTAGAAATTAGAATTCTACTCTCATCAATATAAAGATTTCATTAGTGCATAATTTATAAAAGCATTTATAAATACTTTTTCTTCATAAACTTTTGTTTTTTCTTGTTATTTTATATCTTTTTGGGGTGTTTTATCGACTAAAATAAGTTAATTTGTATTTATTATTATTTTTAATTAAAGAATGATTTTATTAAAATAGAGAAAAATAGGTAATTTTGTCATATCTTTATGTTTGTTCTTAAATAATTTATTTTGGGATTTCATGATATTACATATTTTTAAATTATTTTGCAGATTAATGAGGACAAATTGAAATTAGGAGCTGAAAAGGAGGGGAAAAACTAAAAGAATGAAGGACCAGAGCACATCATTTTGGAGATTTAACTTTTAGGGCATTTGATTTGTTAGAGGAGGATTTAGGTTCTGTTTGTCATCACGATTAAAATTACTTATAAATACGTTTCATATAAGTTGATATAAATTTTTTGTCGCATATTTATTTTTATATTTTGTAAATTATGAATAAAAAACTGTTTATAAATTATTTTAAATACGTCCTCAATCGTGCGAGGGAGACAGGCCGCACACTCACAAGCCTTCGACTTCTTCTTAAATATAGAGAGGGGGAAAAAAAAAAAGTCCAGCGATCTATATACTCTTCCTCCTTCATCAGTCTCAGGACATCCAAGCTGCCAATAACACTCAAATTTTTCATCTTTCCTTGGCGGCCCAAAACGCGACTCCACCCCGCCAGGGTGTGTTTAGATTAGCAGTAGAAAAAATTATTTTTTTTCAATTTGATTTTAGATAAAAATCATATAGTGTAATGTGATTTATATTTGGATTGACTTTTGTCAAAAAATCAGTTTAAAAAGTTGAAAATTATTTGAATGATTAATAAAAAAATAAATTTAGATGTAAAATGACTGAAAAGGATATAAACTTTATTGAATGGTACATATTTATATTATATCTTTATAATGTGATAATTGTTAGAGAAAAATTAAAATTATAATTATAAAAATAAAAATAGTTATTTTAAAGAATAATAAACTTATTTTTTTTAAATGATTTTATTATTTAAAAAATAATTTCTTTAATATTAAAAACAAACTAGCTAGATTTTTTTAAAAAAAAAAGAGGAACTCACACCATGCATTCTCTCTCCTCCCTCACTCATGAGCCCCATCTATTGAAATGTGCAGTAGAGAAGCTTTTTTTTACCAATAGCAGCAGAAAAGCTGAAAGCAAGAGCTTTTGGAAAAAAGTTCGTTTCCAGTATAAATCCATTTACCCTTGTAGCGGATCCAAACATATGTTTTAAACCAAAAGTTATTTTTTTTAGTTTTCACTGGTGGAGAAGTTAGTTTGGAGGCCTTCACTGTGATCCCAAACACACCCTGAATCTTTCAACTTCATCTTTCTTGTTCTCCATCAATGGTGTCCAACACTCCGTTGCCACGAGCATCATCGTCTCCCATGGCTACTGAATTTTTGAGTTGTGTTGTGACTAGGTTTAGAATTATGGAAGGTTGAGTTCATTGTGTTTTTTAGAATTGAATTTAATGGCTTGAGTTTGAAAGCTATAAAGAGGAGTTTAATTCTAGTCATTTGTTTAGACTATTTAATTGATGATTTTTTTGTTTGAAATTTGTTATATTTGGTTTTAAACTAGAAATTGTTGTAATTCTTAGTTTGAATTGGAATTATTAAGATTTGGATTGATAATTGCGAGTCTAAATACTTGGTTTATAAATATATTTATGTTTGTGCCTAAGTATGATTTTCATACAAGTTGTATAGAAATTATGCTTGAAATGATTTTAACAAATAATTAATGTTCTAGTTGAGTATTAATTTAAAAAGAATAACTTCTATAAACCAATCATAATCATATGAGTTACTCTTATATCATTAAATAAATTAGGATAGTTATTGATTCATTTTCACAAAGCATCTCATTATCGAATTCTTTAAGATCCAAATTAATATTTTCATTTATCACTTTATTAAAAAGCCCAAAAAATTAGTAATTAGGATTTATCCGATTTTCATTGTTTACAAAATAGTTTTATTAAAGAAAATCAGTTTCAAAACCCTTTCAATGTTTTTTGGTACTTAGTTTAGTTTAGGTTTTCAAATAAAAAAAGGATCTACAAGAGAGATGATTCGGATTGTGTATTACATTGTATTTATATTCGATTTTATCTTAATTTAACTCCTTTTTTACTCTGCCTCTTATTAGTTTAAAACTCAACTTATCTAAAAACAATCAATGCTTTTTTTGAGATTGAAAAAACTCTAATTAGCTTAAAAAATCAATGTTAACAATAAATTAAAGGCTAAAATATATATTTAGTCTTTGAGTTTTATACAAATTTTTTATTTGGTTATTTAACTTTAAAAAGATATAAATTAAATCCTTTAATTCTAAAATCATTAGTGTTAAAAAAAAACCTAAAATCATTAGACATAAATGATAATTTTTGGTAACAATCATAATTATTTTAAAAATTAAAATTAATATGTTACCATTTGAAAATGTTTTATTGATATTTATCATAAATTAAATTTTTTTTAAAAAAACTGATCGGATTAGGATGAAACATAGATGATCAATTGTACATGAATCAAGCTTGCCAGTCATTTGATTGTGCACGTAACTGAGGAATAAAAACCAAACAATAATTTTAAAAACAATTTTACTGTATATAAAATAAATATATAAAACAATTCATCTCGATTTATGAAAAAAAATTTAAAAATACTTTTAAAATATTCCAAATACCTTCTAAACTAGTGTTTTGTTATGTAGCAACAAACTAATAGCCATTAAATACATGCACTTTTTATTCAAACTTTGATTTGATATACTCCTCCGGTCTTTAATATAAGACCCATTTAACTAATTTGATTAGATTAAGGAAGTTAGGTAAGTTAGTTAATTATAAGAAAAGTAACATATTTTTCCCAAAATACCATAATCATCTTTCTTAATACCCCCTCTCCCTCTTCTACTTGATTATGTGTGAGAGAGTATTTATAGGGGTAATTTAGAGAAAATTGATAAATATGAGAAATGGGTCTTATATTTAGGACCAAAACCAACTCAAGAATTGGGTCCTATATTAAGGACCGGAGGAGTATATGTCTTTTAATTTTACCTTGGGTCATAATATAATTTTATTAATCCAAGCATAACTATGTACTCCATATTTTGCAGGCAAGAAAAAATATACTCCATATTGTTAATTAATTATCATGCTAATACTTTTTCATTAATGTTATCCAATACCCGATTCGGTAGGAAAGTTCACCCTTTAGCCCCGTTTTCTTGATTTAGTTACAAATGAATTTTATAAGGAAAATAATTTTATTTTATGCTCATTTAAAATATTTAAAAAAAGAGTACAGCGATCTAAGTATGCGTTGAATTACTTCAAAATAGACAATTTTATATCATGTTACAATTTATATTTATAATGATTTACAGTATAGCTCTTGTTTTGAGCCATTGGAAGAGGAAAAAAAACTCGTTTTGAGCAACAATCTATATTTTGATATTTTCGGCTCAAAGCCGTCAGGTCTAAATAAATGAGGGAAAATGTTGGCGAAAATCAAATAAATATGGGAAAAATTTGATTTTTAAGGGGGGAAAAAGCTAAATTTGATGAATTCTCAGGCCAAAAATCAAAGATCAATGTTCAATCGAAGACACTTCAGCTGGTAGTTGCCGTCTTTTGAATTCGGGAAGTATGGAAAACTGATTTTCTGCTCTTGAACCAGTAAAGCTGTAGTGTTCTGATTTAAGAAGAAACTCATAAAAAGGTGCTTTTCTATCTGCAGACTGCAGTATCTTACGTTTCAATTTGCAGATTCCGATTTTGGGTAGTTTGCTTGATAGTTCCTATGCATTCATTCAGGTGTCCCTTGTCAAATTTCAAATGACCTTAAAGGAGTATGAGAAATATTTATAAGCCTAAAGCACATTCTCATCCGGAGTTAGGGTTCATATTCTTCTTCGAGTTCAATTCAATTGGGCAATGCGATCATTTATTCATTTTCTTGGTTGTTCCATATGTTAAATTGTCAAGCAACCAAACGCTGATTTTTTCTTTTTTTGGTGTTTCCTTTTTGCAGCATAAAGATCATTATCTATTAAATTATCACTTGGTGTACTTGGTGGTGAATTCTGATCATTGCAGTACATCTGAAAGTACTGCTCACCATTGGAGTTAATGTTGGGCTTCAGTTCTTGTTTGTCTATCTCTCGACTGCCTCATCACTCCAACCATTTTTCTCAACGAATATTGAACAATCATGGAAGTCGCATGAAAAAGGTTGACCTTGGTAGACCCCAGATTTTACCTTCTGTATTGGGGGTTACTTCTGGCTTGCGCGTGTTCGTGGTTTCTGACTTGCATACTGACTATGCCGAGAACATGAAGTGGGTAAAGTGCTTGTCCTCTATTAATCACAAGAAAGATGTTCTTCTTGTTGCGGGGGATGTTGCGGAGACGTATGACAAGTTTGTTGTCACTCTGTCTCTCCTAAAGGAAAGATTTCAACATGTCTTCTTTGTACCTGGGAACCATGATCTCTGGTGTCGTCGTGATGGGGAAAATTATGTAAGGTCATTTATTTTGCCGAGGCAAGACATTTTTGGTGATGAATATAAGCATGTGACACTGATCCTCTGTTAGTATCTTTCTGGTGATGATTTGGGTAATTTTTCTTTTTAATCCAGGTTGATTCTCTTGAAAAGCTAAATAAATTGCTTGATGCATGTAAGAGTCTTGGAGTTGAGACAAATCCGATGGTTATTGATGACTTAGGAATCGTCCCCTTGTTTTCTTGGTACCATGAGGTGATTGGTTTGATGATGTCAATTTTCATGAACTCAATCATTCATAGCAAGAAATTTTTTTGGATCTAGAATGAAAAGTGTTTCTTAGGGGCAATTTGTTTGAATGCGCAATCTGCTTTCTTTTGCAGAGCTTTGACAAAGAGCAGGATATAGAAGGCCTTCGCATTCCCTCATTGGAGATGGTGACTACTCTATTAACTCCTAGTAAGCCATTTGAAAAGCTGATTGATGGTCTGAGCAAACTCATCAGTTTTTGTTTGAGGATTAACTGGTTAAGTGTGCTGTACGATATTCTCTTATGTTTGCAGAAATATTATATATTGATGACAAGGACATTGCATTTTCATTTTATTCATTGTTAAGGGTAATATAATCATGACATCAGAGATTATTAGCTGCTGCTACATGGCAATACCATGTATGTACTTCCTTGAAATTCACTCCACATCTTAACACCGCCATCCAATTACTAATGAGTCAGAAAGTGCGTGTTGCTCTGGCCATGTATCGCTTTTAACGATTGTCAATTACTGGGCAATTTCCCTTTTTTGTCTGCTTTTAATTTAAATGCTATTATTTCAGCCAACGATTCTGTACTTATGGTATTTTCTTTTCTGGCTTAGGCTTGTAAGGACTTTCATGCATGCAAGTGGCCCAGGGGACTTTCAAATGGAGATATCTCCCTCGCTTTATATTTTGATGGCATGAATGAAAGGCAACAAAATGTGGTAGAGGAGATTCAGATGACATGTGATCACATAATTACCTTTTCTCACTTTGTTCCCAGGTTTTTGTCACTATAAGCTTGTCTTGTTTTATTGCTGAAATATTTTATTATTGCTTTTATGCTTGTTTGAATGCATGACTAGTATGTGCTGTTTGAAACAGATTGATGAGATCTAATGATCCATCAAAAAGGATTAAATTAAGAAGAAATGGCACAGGATGCAATAATCTTTAAAGAGCTACTGATCCTTTAAAAACTTGTAACATTTATATGCATAATTCTCATTATCACCAAATATACTACTTTTTTTGTGATGTGTCTTGCTGGTTGGGGGGCGACTTAAACAGCAAACATTTGCGTGACTTTGTGATATGGTGGTTGACGGCTAATATTTACTTACTTTCTTCACAGGCAGGAACTTTGTCCAGAGAAGAGGATGTTATTCTATCCAAAGCTTCCAAAAATAATTGGTTCAGACTCCCTTGAGCTTCGAATAAGGTCAATACATGGGGCTGAGGGAAGGGGGGATGCATCCGCTTGCCATGTGTTTGGTCATACCCACTTCTGTTGGGATACTGTTATTGATGGTATCAGGTATTTCTTGTTTCTCGTTTCTAGCCAGCAAATTTTCTTGATTACATTTTAGCATATTACTGTTATGCAAAAAAACTAAATGGAGGTTCTCTGGTGTTTTTTCTGGAGTGGCTTCTCTTTAGAGTTTAGACCAGCTCCAGGCACTAGGTATTCATAGCATAGCTTTCCCATTTCAGCAAGGAATCACTTCTACATAACGCTTAGTCAAGACTTTCACCTATGCTTGTATCGCCATCCGAGAGTGGTTTGGTTTTATCCTTGAAAAATTACAAGAAATAAAAATATAGGAAAGAATGGTCTCTGAATGTGCTAATAGTTACCAAGAAGACTAAATAACCACACGATGTAGTTATATGCTTCAAGCTATCTGATCCTTACAAATGTATAAGCTGAAAAAGATAAAAAGGATATTCGTATTTCTTTATGTATTTAAATGGCTCAGAAAATATGTTAGTAAAAGTGTTGTTTGACACAAATTGGCAGGTATGTGCAAGCACCCCTGGCCTACCCAAGGGAAAGGAAAAGAAGAATGAATGGGGGTGAAAATTGGCTGCCGTTTTGCGTTTATGCTGACAAAAGATTTACAGATAGACTCACCCCTTGCTATTGGTCTGATTATTACTCTGCCAACCCCAGGACCCCTCACAATACTGAACTTGCTCCTTGGGTTGCCAGATTTTACAGGCAAACACAAAGTATAGATGTATAGTAATCTAGTCTACTCATAATATTGCCCTATTGCTGTCTTCATTTGGAGTATTTATGAAAGGTCCTTCATTTGTTGATTTTGCTGGGAACTAAATATAAAATGGATATTGTGGTATAGATGCTGTCACTAGACAAGGGGAAAGCTATACTCAGATCCAAAGCGAAGAACTGATACTTGAATAGTATTTCCTCTTGTCCTTTTTAGGAGGCTATGTTAACTAATTTTAAATGTTAAATGTTAGAAACTTCTCAACTTTCCAAAATTACCCTTTAATTGGTGAAACTTGTTGGGGAAAGAGGATGGGAAAGCTATTATAAAGAGGCAAGGGAATTTTTGGGATTAATTACAAAGTTTCATCGAGTCTCGCAAGGGGTTTTCTATTAAGGACCAATGAATAGGATCTTGTAAATTAGATCGGATGGAGTATTTAGATATAATAGCAAGCTTTAGTGCTAATAATAAAAGTCATTGGTAATATAAGTTATTTTTGTCTGGCAAAAAAAGCAAGTTAATTTTACTAAAAAATTGTTTACAATTAATAATATTATTCCATAGTTAAAAAGGAAAAGTTTCATAAGAAAGAAAAAGAAAGAAAGAGGGAAATATTCTTGTCCTAGTCTTGAGAGACGACTATTTGGGCCTAAATAAGGCTTTTCTTGTATTACGGTACACCTTGTAAACATTTTATAATAATTTAAACGAAAAAGAAAGAAAAGAGAGGAAAATATTCTCGGTCCTAGTCTTAAAAGACGACTTTTTCGGTTAAAATAAGAGTTGGCCAATTTATTACAGCACACCTTCTAAACATTTTATAATAATTTATAACTAAATAATAAGAATATTTGCACATACTCTTTTTTTTTTTGGGGCCAGAGGCACATACTCATATTAATCGTTTGACATTGTATTATGTATTTGATGATATTAACTTAATTACACTAATTTAAGGAGAATAATTTTTTTTCAATAAATGCGCGTTGCATAACTTTTTTTTTTTCCCCAGCAAAATGCACATTCTATAGTTTTTTCTGCCGACGTATTGTTGTTTCTTATATTTAGATTCAAATAATAATATTAATAATTTCCTAAAGAGAGAACTATTATTTTTGGTCAAAAATATTGTTTTATTTTTGGGCAGCACGTTTTTATTAACAGTGCCAATTTGGCGTTTCAAGAACTCTTTTAGAAACGGTCTTTGACGCCGAAACCCATAAACCCTCCTCAGTTTGATCGAAGGCAGGAAGAAGCAGAAGCTTCAAAGCCCTCCTCTTCTCTCCGCTCACCGGAAAAACAAAACAAAACAAAAAACCAGAGAGAAAACTCTTCTGTCACCTGGTGGACATCTAACATTAATGGAAAGCTCAAGCGGATAACAGCAGGTAGTGAAAATGAGAAAGAAGCTCCTGATGGCTGCAAGAGGAGGCCTCTCCTTGTCCAATGACAAACTCAGACTCACTCGCTTGTCACGTCCCAGACCACCCAAATGGGGTAACTTCCTTTAGCTCTTTCGGTTCTCTTTTTTGTGATTTGCTACTTTTGGGTCTCCGTGCTTATTCTGTTCTGTGTTTGTTGTTTATTTTTGGCCTGTACTTATGCATAAGGGGTTTTTCTGTGAAAATGTAAACTCATTATCGTTTAGATTGTTCAAGGGACTACCAAAGTGCTGTAACGGATGCAAAGGGAGAAATATCAAGTGTGTTGCCTGCGCCTGTGTAATTGCGTTTGATTTGCCGATTTAGCAATTTATATTGGTCATGTGTGTGTGACAAAATCAAGATTCTCAGTATGCATGTAGAGTGATGTGGGGACACCCCTCATTTTTCTTGAATTCTTTGATATATTGTTACTTTTAGCGAAGTAGAAGTAGTGTATGCAACTTGGACAGTAATGGACGTTTAAACTAGAATGTTAAACTGAATAAGAGTTGGGTACCCTGGATCAATTTAAAAATCTATTGGTTGCTCATTGAGTTAATGATTTGATGGAGTGGTAATATTAGTTTGCACTGTACCAACTGCTACAAGATCCCATGGTCAAAGAACGAGCGCAAAAGGTTTGTCGGAGGGGAGAAAAAGGAGAGCTAGCAAAGATAGTTCGGAGATCAAAATTGTCTTAGAAAAACAGGATTCATTCTTAAAAGTAGATGCTGAGGATCTATGGCCTACAACATGCGTCTATAAAAACCCAAAGCTTCTTAAAATATATGGCAGAACAAGTATTTTTCCTTATATACCCAAATCCTCTTCTCTATATCTTGTATCGCAATCCTTTAAACAAGGGCGTGGTTGTGCTGTTGTTCATTAACATGGCTGGATATCTTTGTTAAATGCCATAATGTTATCAGAAGCATATTTTTGTGGTATCGTATAACTTGAAGTTCAATTCCTTAGTTTTCGTTAATCTCATGCAATTGCTGCTTTGGCATCAATTTTGAGAGTCTAATTCAAAGCCAAGGTGTTATATAATATTTTGAATTATTATGTAATCGTATTCACCATGTTGATTGGCAGTGCTCATTGAGGCAAACGGTTCTGTTGGTCAGTCAAATACTCAGTGGCGTGGATGGTCGTATGCTGCTTCTGTACCTTCTGACAAGCCAAATTATCAGAAACGTCAAAAGCTTTCAAGAGATGAAAGGAAAGCCATGGTGGAGTCTTTTGTGAAGAAGTATTTCCTCAAATTCATCCCTCCTTCTTTTTCTCTCTTGTTTGGCCGGTGCTTAATCAATTTTGAAGCCATGATTATTGAAAATTTTTTGAAGTTTTTTGCTACCTGCTTTGTTTTGAAGTACTTAAATTATTTAAGCAAATTGTAGGACAGTCAAATAAGAATATTTTATATTGCATTTAGGGGACAATATGCAACATCCAGAGTTGTTTCAGCAGCTTATTAGAAGACCAAAAGACATTGATCCAATAGCGCATTTTCTTTTGAAATTTGCTGGAATAGTAACTGCTTGTTACTGTTGCAGACTAAGTGACCATATCAAAGTAGTATGATTTTATTTTTTTCCTGAGAATTCTGGTAATTCCATAAAATTTTACCAAAATAAATTGAACATTTTAATTGAAACAGATCACTTATTCATTATTTCCTAATTGCTATTGAATTGCATGTTTATGGAAATAATCAAATTAATGAAGTTAATTGAATTCTTTTTTAGTTATGTTGGAATTACTCCCGCTGTCCCCTTCTTTTCTTTGGTTAATTTGTGAAATACAAAAGGGAAAGCAGTCATTGTGAATACATGTACTTCATTCATTTGAGGGGGAATCTGTAAGTTGCTTAATGTTTTCCACAATTGGGCATCTGACAAATTTTGATCATACTTAAGTGTCTTGAATCGTTTAAAGATTACAGTGTGCAAGGATTTCAAAGATAAAAAAATTAATAGTTTTTAGGGTGTTGGTCTTAACCCTTGGTATGACAAAGGGATACTCAGAGGAGAAGAAATTTTATTTTGCATGTGTTTTTAATTGTTGTCCTGATTATGTGGTCAAGAACAGGATCTTCCCTTCTCTTAAAAAAATTGACTTAAAAGGCCACCAAGCATTTGTAGAAGCTGGGGGGGGGGGGATTTTATCAACATAACATCATCTGAGTTGGCATCACTATCTTCACGCTTCATATATTATAAATTAGTTGAGGAGAGAAATCCTGTCGCATCTGAGGTTTGGTATAGTGGAATATTGTGCTTATATTTCATATTAGCCAATAATGGACGTTGAAACTAAATCTTCTTTTCTCTTCAGGTACAGAGAAACAAATGATGGGAAATTTCCACATGTTAAGCATACTATGAAAGAAGTTGGTGGCAGTTACTATGTTGTTCGAGAAATCATTCAGGAGTTAAAATACAAGTCCAAATTGAATTCTTCAAGCAACATGGATAAGAATTTGGCGGGAAAAGATAACATCAGTGTGAATAAATTTGGGACCACTGAAACTGTAAAGGTTCCCTCTGATACTACTGAGACTGGAAAAGACAGGCCTATCCAAGATGACGGTCAATTGGCAATTTTAGATGAAATTGATGCTGGGAATGAGCATCGGGAAGATGAGAGAAGGCCACCAATTACCTCATATGAAGGGAGCTTGTCTAGAGAAGCTGTAATCACCTCTTCTCCTGTAAGCATCAAACTGAATTTATTGAGCGGCTTTCAATTAACAGTATGTCTAAAGATTTGGTTTTTGACAGAGCTTAATGGCGTTTTGCAATCCATGTAGTTGACCCCACCTAGTAGGATAAAGGTTTATTGTTGTTGTAGTTTGTTCTTTACATTTTATCAACTGAAATGCTTACCAATACTATAGAGGTCCAGTTGAAGAAATTGAGTTTGCTACCCTCTTGTTTTTATTTGTTATATTAATTTACAAAGTCCAGACTAAAAGTCACCGCTAAATCTTTGTAATTTTGATCCTCCGGCTGACGACAAGTATTTTGTGAACTTACTTTGATAGGGAAAAAAGAACGATAGGGCATTGGCATACATTGTGAACTTTATTAGTAATGCTTTCTAATAGCAATTAACATGCAATCAAATAGAGACAAATTATTAATGGTTGATGGCTTTACTTGTTCATCAGAATTGCATGGCATTCCTTTGTCATGTCTTTGCGTAGACCCTCCGGCTGTCCTGGCTTCATTTGATCATCTTTTTTGTACTTTTAGATATTTTATCACTGTTAAATTGACTTTGTTGTAACACTAATCCTTTACCTTTGATCTTTATAGCAGGACAATCATTTATTTGCTGATGAAAGTGACCGGTTGCAAAGAGAAGCTGAACATTCCAAATCGAATCAGTGGACACCAACTGATTTCAGGACTGAGGAAGCGGAGTCTAGTTGTTCTGATTTTGTTGTTTCTGAAACTCGTCCAATGAAAGATGAGGTGCATGACATTTCTGCTCCTTGTAGTGAAATGTCTGGAAGTAGTCAGAGCAAAGATCTCGATTCTGAGTTATCTGATACGGAAAATCATATGATAATGAAGAAAACGAACATTGAGAAAGCTGGACGTGAGAGAAGAGAGCATGATGCGTTGAGAGACCTTCCCAGTATTGACGGTCCAAAGCATACAATGGAGCAAGTTCATGGAACCTTAGAAGTGAGTGAGTCAAAAATGTAAGTCTTCATAATTGTCACTCCTTAGAAGATACCATCTAATTGAAATGGCTTTGATTCATGATATGAAATGGGATGTGGTGGGAATACATTTAATTGAAAATTCAATGTTTCATTCCTGTCTTAAGTTTTCATATAAAACATTTATAAAACAACTTCAAATCAAGTTAAAAATTTAAACTATGTTTAAAGAATCAGAAATAAATATGGCGTTAGAAAATTTTAAAATTAATGCATATTTTTGTAAAATCAATACTCAGAGAATTCTGTTAAAGAAATATGAAAGCTATGTAAAGCTTGATTTGTTTCTTAGAATGAAATTTACATTGAAGTATTGTTTCATGCAGTGAAACACCTCGGTTAAAATGAGGCCATCTTGTTTTTCATCCTGTGAAATGTACATTGAACTTTTCCATCTTTAATATTTTGTATGTTAAGGTTGTTTGTTCTCTCCCATTGTCCAGAGACAACTCTAATAGGGAGATCGGTGATGCTGAGGCTCCAAAGAAAACAACTTTGTGGGGAAGTCTGAAGTCATTTGCGGATGGCATCATGAACATCTGGAAAAAACTATGAAGTCATGTGTTGCAACTTAGAAGAAATTTAATCTTCACTTTACAACTGACGGTGTTTCCAATTAGGGGTCATGAACATTGTCTGCTGTGTTGTTGCCTGACAACCTTATTGCAAAATTTTGCATCTCCATTCCGGGAATTTCCTGACTTTTCTTGAGGCTTTTCGGTTAACTTTCTTTCAGTGTTCGAGCTGACAGCTCATTTGTACAGGAGTTTCTATTCTCTTGCTGTGGGGAAGAAAAATGATTTTGATCATGCGGATGGTTTCTTTGTATGTTACAAACAATTGGAAGGGATATATAGAATGTTGCGATTTATGGATTACCATGTTGGTGTATGAATCTGCCCAATATTGAAATTGTGTTGGTGTAATATTAATTGATTTTTAAACATTTTCCTGTTTAGAGCTGCATAATGCTGACCATGGAGACCATTTATGATGCTAAATATAGTACTAAATCTTTGCACTACAAAATGAGTCTTATATTAAGAAATGAAAGAGTAATATTTTAAATGAAGCCATATACTGAGCTGTTATTTGCTCATATACTTTTGATTCTTAACGTAAGACTCAATTAATTTGAGTAGATTAATGATGTTAATTAAATTATTTAGTATGGTTTGTTTTTTTTCCTAAGACACTGTAAGTATTATCTTTATTTTCTTTCCTCCTTCTCCTACTTAATTATTATGGAGAAAATATTAATAGGGTTACTTTGAGAAAAATTGATTATGTTGGTTTAACTTGAAGCACTGTTGAGTAGATTTGACTTTCCTCTTCTACTCTTCCCTTTCAATATTCATCTCTCCTATTGGATTAAAATTTGAGTAGCCCCAATTTAATATTTTTTGAAATTACTAATAAAATGTCAAATTATTAAAAAATAAATAATAAATTTGAAAATGCTAAACTCCAATTAAAAACTACAATAAACATTTAAAAATAATTTCAAAAATGTTAAATATATACTGCTCAAATTTTAATCTAACAGTGGAGAGAGGAGAGGGAGAGAAAGTGGATAAAAGTTGTAAAAAAGAGAAACTAGGAGATGTTTGGATGAATTTAACGCAAATAGAAAACTCATTCCACATACTCATTTTATATATTGTAAAATTATTTTTAAAATAATTATTTGATTTTTATTCAAAAACTTTTTAAGTTTCTGTCGAGCACTAAATATCAATGATTCTCTCAAGAATTTGAATCTGGTTCATCACATTATTATATTGGATTATTAGATCCGGTTGGATTTTTCGAATCTTTTTGAGGTGGGAAAGATTAGATTAATGGGCCTGCTCTCATTAAAGCCCAAATGTCTTTACACGGGCTCATAGACGCGAGTTAAAAAGGTTCAATTCCCTCAATTTATTATAATTATTATTTGTTTTTTTTTTTTTAAGAAAAAAAGGGCTCAATCCATTCCCTGGGTTACTCCTCACTCGGTCACTCCTCATCCCTGTGTTCTCCAGCGTTATTCGCATCAGCGACGAGAGAGTCCGGATTTATACCCCACCCCTCTCTGTCTCTTTCCCGCGCACAGGCGAGAATCCATAATAATACCTAACCCTCAATTTTTGGTCGTTATTCTGATACGGTGTTCTGGAAGCGTCTTCTTCGTTGGTCCTCAGGAAAGTAATCATCTTCTGCTCTCCAATTCGTAATCCCAAGAACTTGATAGTCTCATCTCTTCTTTTCTGAGGAAAAAAGAAGCTGCATCTCCAGGTCGGTGCAAATAATCGGAGATGGCGGCGGGTAGGGAAGTTCGAGAATATACTAACCTAAGCGACCCGAAAGGTAATTGATTTTGATTTCTTTTGGTGCGTGAAATTTTCTTCTTCTTCCACCCCCTCTTATTTTATAGTTTTTAGGTTTGATTTAATTTCGTTTTGAATCTGCAGACAAAAAATGGGCTAAAGGAAAAGATAAGATAGACGATGAAGACATTACTTTTCAACGTATGGTTGCCAAGGTTAGCGCATTGAATCGCCCTCCCCCGCCTTCTTTTTCCTTGAATGCTTTTTATTTTTCCCCGCTTTCCATTTTTGGCGAATCTATGTGAGGCTTTAAATGATTGTTGAGCACTCATATGCTGGCCAAAAGAAAAATTGAGCACCCATATGCTTGTAAGCTTAAGCTTGAGTTTGAATGTTGTGCTAATCTTTAGTGGTTGGGCTCGATTTGTCACTTAAAAGGAACTCTTTTACAATCTACTTATATACACCAGGAATTACCTCGGAATGGACTATAAAATGCAGCTTGTGCAACTAAGCCGATGCATTCATACCCATAATTCTTTTTCTGTAGTCTTCATACTATATATATAATCTTCTTCAATCCTACACGGTTTTCTTTGGTTGTTATATGCACAAGTAGAAAGAAACTTAACACGAGGTGGAAACTTACGGGTATGCGGTATGCCCAGCCTGCACCTATCCTCATGAACGAATGGTGTGCAGGGCATCCTTATCTGAGTCTAAGCCCTTATCATCTGGTATCTATCACTTGGTATCATAAATACTATATGAGGGTACACGATACTAGATGTTGTTTACAGAACTCTGGCATTCATAGGATGGCCTGGCTCTATTTGTGACTTAATTGAAGAATCTGGGTTACTACTTACTCATGCTGTATAATTTAAGTTTCTTCTCTTTCATTTGTGAGAGCAGTAAATGGGCTACACAAGTTGTATACTTCTCTCTTGAAAACTTTTTATTTGTTTCTTTTCTGTTTTGGCTCTCTTTTGGCCTATCATTTCACTTTGTTGATTCCTTCTACAGCTTTTATTTGGTCCTAAATAAATTAGGACTATGATGAAGGGACCAGTTTTAACCGTCATTGTAATTATACCTACCTTGTCTCGCACTTAAAATTATTTTATGTTGCAATTTGAGAGATTTTGCTGATAACATGCCCCGGCAGGGATATTGGCTTCCTGTACCGGGTGGCTGATGCAAGCAGATGCAAGAGGTTGCTGGAGAGCGTGGAGGTTACCTTCATGGGCGAGGGGGTACCACTTTACCATGATTGCTTTTGTCTGTTGCATGTGTTCCTGCACTTGGTCTTATCTGTTGCCATTATATTACCTTAGTTGCTTTGATCTCCTTTTGAAATTTTATATATGCAGCATTGGACAGTGATGATCTACTCTATCTCAAGGAGCAGATGGAAGCTGAGGAGGATGCTGAGCGCCTCCTGCGTCGTACTGAAAAACGGGCATTTGCTGCATTTAAGATATCCTTTTCTGGTCAGCCATACTGAAGGAGCTGTGTCTTCTTATTCTTCTTGGGTTCATAACTGTTTCTTATATCATAGAACCACAGTTTAATTAACTGGTTAGCAATGTGCACAATTTAATAATCTTTTCTGTGACTGCTTAAAAATGAATGGAACTGTGATTTCAATATGTATTATTTCTTCCCTTCTGTTCCTGTATGTTCTCCCTATCTCCTAGAGAGTAGAATTATGGGTGTTTTAATTATAACTATTTGAATTCTATTCCTTTTCTATTACTTACCTTTGCATCATTTTTCATTTTATTTTCTGTTATTTTGAAAGCAAGACACATTGATTCTTTCATCGAAATGTTTTGAGTACTCTTGTTGATTTTGTCGGTTGTAGTTCAGTTTTATAAAACTGACAAAGTAATGATTTGGTGATCTCAAACGAATACCGAAGGGATTGTTTTCTGTGAAAGAGTATCACAACGGATGCAAATGTTTCAATAATTTCTATTGACTTGATTAATCCAAATTCAACCCAGGTAGTTTTTAGCTGATGTCATCATTATTTGATAATGACAACGCTATGATAAAATTACCCGTGCTTTAAGTTGTGTTCTGGTGTTTCCTTGACAAATGGACACAGAGCTGCAAACTTGGCGGATTCTACCCCTGCATCAGTACCCTTACCACTTCGTGTTGAACCAAAACCAAAGAGCGGGATAAGGTAGATCTTTTCTCTTCCCTCCCCCTTCTCTTCCCCCTTTATTCATATCTTATTGTTGTTCTGGTTCTGGTGTTGTTCATAGTCTATATCCTTTGTGATGTAGGCAGCAAGATCTGCTGAAGAAAGTTGTGGAAATTAAGCCAAAGCGACCGAAGCTTTCTAGCCCATCTGATGGCAATCAATCAACCCCAGTTCCAAGTAATGCTAATATTACAAAACGTGAGTCTGAGAGTGAAAGACTGAAAGAGAAGGGACAGCAGTCCTTGTCAGAAGCAAATAAGAAACAGCCTTCATCAGGGGAATCACAAGAGGCAGAAGGAAAGATTAAGATGGATAATCCTGCTGGTGGATTGCTCGGCTTGGCATATGACACTAGTTCTGATGATGAAGAGTGATGGATGATGAAGGCTTTTAATGGTGGAAAACTACTAATCCTCTTTGTAGCTTCAGTACAGAGTGCTTTTTCTTCGTTTACCATTTAAGTGTCTTGCCATGTTACTCTGAAAATTCTGCACATGAAGCATTCATCATAAAAAAAAGAATTAAAAAGGATGACTGGTGAGCTATTTACAACCAGAGGGAAGATGAACTTAGTGCATGCCTTAATTTCATGCTGTGATGATAATGTGCCAGTTTTGCTTGTCTTCTCTACATTGTTAATGATTTACTCTGCATCTGGATGGTTTGTGTATCCACAATTTGCTTTGATGTCCCTGTTTTTGTTGGTGTTGCAAAGATTGTTTTTAGGGTGATTCAATTGTAACTTAGAAAACTGTTTATAACAAGACGTTTTTATTTATTTTTTATTTATTTAATATCTTGATTTTAGTTTTGCTTTAGGTTATAATCCTTTGACTTCTTTCAAAGATTAAAACGGGAACAAGCATTCAAGCTATCTTCAAATTTCTATGCGCCCTCATGTTTGATTCTTCAAAATGGGCTCTGCATTTGTTGGCTTTATGGCCTAACTAAATTCCCAATCCAGTAATTCCCAGGTATATCCTTGCAGAGGCGACTCGTGGGCCTTGTTTTGTGTATTATTAATTGTTTACGAAAAAAAATTACAAAATTTATTTATGTTGAACGTGTTTATTAACATATGAAGAGGAAGGCTCAAAAAAAAAAAAAATAATTATATGCCGTCATTTCTCAAGGCGTTCGCAATTGACGAAAACTAAATACACAAAAAAATTATTTATTGATTGAACTTCTATGACTTAATTTTTTGGATATTACAATGGTATAATTAATCTGGCGGTGGTAAAAAAATTTAATAGCTCTTGATAAATTTTAAAAATGTTAAATTATCAATTTAAGACAGGTTGAGTGATAATTTTATGGTTAATTTTAAATTATTTTAAAATTCACTTATAATTTTAATAAAATATAAAATATTGTTATAATTTTATTTATCTATTATTCTCTCTCAGTTCAACTGGGAAAATATGTAAGAAAATAAGTAAAAACGTAATTAAAAGCATTTTACTCAAATTTAATTAGAATTTTATATAATTTATAATACTTCATAAATTTGTTTGCCTTTCTATGTTATTTCAACTGACGACATTTTTCGGCCAAAAAAAAACTGACAACATTTATATGGCGGGGAAAAAAAAAACAGTTTTTTTTTAATTGAAAAAGCCCCTCCCTCCCGGGGGGCGGGGGTGTAAAGTTTCCCCCGCGCCCAACTGTCAATTGACCAACCTCGCGTACCTACCACCGTCTCTCTCGCACCATGACATACTGCTGCCGAGTTGAGTTGTTAAATTTCAATGTGGGTCATCGTCCTCCTTGCTGACCCATCTCACTTGCAAAGGTTCTTTCACCAACCTCCGTAACTTTTGGTTTTGGAGCTTGCTACGCCTCCTTCTTCGTTCCTAATTCTTACAGAGAAATGCCGCTTTCACCAGCCCCTCAAGTCATCACCTGCAAAGGTAGATTGTGTTATTATCAATCAATCTGTTTTCTTTCTCTGCTAAAATCTCTGTGGTTGATAAACAAATGAATCAATATGTGCATTTGATGTGAAACAGCTGCGGTGGCATGGGGACCTGGAGAGCCATTGGTAGTAGAGGAAGTTGAAGTGAACCCTCCCCAACCTTCGGAGATTCGGATTAAAGTTGTCTCCACCTCTCTCTGTCGCAGCGATATCTCCGCTTGGGAATCCCAAGTATTCTTCCCCTCCCCCTTTATTATTATGCCTTTGCTTTATCTTCAATCTCCTTGTTTTGATCCCCCATCCCTCTTTCCGTATAAATGTGATACTTATGTTGAAACAGGGGTTAAACATCTAACAGGAAGTTCTTTCTCTGTGCAGACCTTATTTCCTCGAATATTTGGCCATGAAGCGTCAGGGTAACAAAATTCTTTTGCTCTACTAAGTTGATTAATGCATAATGAGTCGTAATTGATCCTTAAATTATTATTTTAGCATCATTATTTTTCTTTATATTACCCAATAAACCAGCATGACAATTAGACAGAACTTTGAGATGCCTCGTTCTGTTGAAGTGATGATCACATAGGGTATAGCTGATTTTAAACATTATTGTGACAATCATGAGATGCATTATCGCTCTGAGGATGTCACTTTAGGAACTAACTGACTGTAACTGATATAATATCCTCAACAGATGATGGATACTCAGTACTTGGTTTGCAGGATTGTTGAGAGCGTGGGCGAGGGAGTGACTGAATTCAAGGAGGGAGACCATGTGCTGACTGTCTTCATTGGAGAATGCATGACATGCAGGCTGTGCAGATCTGGGAAAACAAACGTATGTCAAGTTCTGGGATTGGAAAGAAGAGGTTTAATGCATAGTGATCAGAAAACACGTTTCTCAGTAAAAGGGAAGCCTGTTTATCACTATTGTGCTGTCTCAAGTTTCAGTGAATATACAGTGGTGCATTCTGGGTGTGCAGTCAAAGTCAGCTCCAATGCTCCTCTTGAGAAAATATGCCTTTTGAGCTGTGGTGTTGCTGCAGGTAATTCTTCTAACTTCCATGTATATGACATTAGCTCCGTGTGAAATGCAGGGTGGAACAACCGGTAGATCAACATATAAAATGTGTCTAATTGGCCAAAAGTAAAATTTTAAGGAACTGAGGTGGTGGTCCAGCTGAGTTTTTCAGTTTTTTGTTGTTAACCCCAAGGAATGACTGGAGGAGGCATGGTTCATGCGTCCGTGTAGGCATTTTCTTAACATATTGTTTTATATTTTAATGACAATTATGTGTAATGGAGAAGTCTAACTGTAGTGGTAATATTATGACTGGAGATCTTCTCAACAAAGGATCACGAAGTAAATAATTCTGCGTCATGTGAATTGTGTGAAAAGTCAAAGATATCACGTTTTTCACATGCCACATTCCTTGGCAACTGATAATAAGTAGTAATTGCTGACCCATCATGACAGATGATCTAGTTCAAGCTACTTGACGTGTTTTATTCAACTTTACGGCTTATTAGACTTCTTTCACCTAGCTCAAGTTTTGGCAAAATTTGCCTACCATTTTCTTCAGCTTTTAGGTTCTGAATGCTATGATTAATAACTTTTAAAACACTTTCTCGGTTGCTATTAGAAAATTGGAAAGATAATCAATTCATATTGTTTGCTTAAGACTGAATTTGTTCTTTCAAAGTGGTGGCAAGTCTTGTAGCCAAGATAGTGCGGGTTAAGATTTGAATCCTCTGAAACAACTCTCAGGGCTTAGCAGCTTGTAGCATATAACACATATGCTGCTCTTTAATTTTTCTCCCTTATTCATCACCACGAAACTCGCTGATTTTTTGTAATTACCTGCAATATATATAATGTATTCTTTACACTGTGTGGACCATAGTTCTTGGTAAAAGTCGTTTCTCAATGGAGCATAATATTTTTCCTTTTGTCATTGTTGGGTTGGTTTGGTTGATCATAAATTACCACATTAGGTCTGGGCGCTGCATGGAATGTTGCTAATATATCAGAAGGATCAACAGTAGTGATATTTGGACTGGGAACTGTTGGCCTTTCTGTAAGTAGAAGGATTCGCTAGCCATCAACTTCTGTATCCCCTTAGCTTTTTTAAAGATGAGAGATGCTCCATTCTAGTTTGTAATGAGACAATGACTTTCCTTGTAATTAGGTTGCGCAAGGTGCTAAACTTAGGGGGGCATCTCGAATAATTGGTGTGGACAACAACCCTCAGAAGTGTGAAAATGGTATTAGGATCAGTTCTCTCTCTCTCTCTCTCTCTCTCTCTATATATATATATATATATATGTTAATTTAAATTTGAGCCTAGGCTAATCTTCGTTTTTACATGTTTGCCATGTTGGTTGTTGCTACAGCTAAAGCTTTTGGAGTTACAGAAGTTGTTAACCCAAATTCCTTTGATGAACCTATCGCACAGGTATTTGTCAATGTCATTGTGAAAATTGTGATTCAGCCTTTTGTAATTGTCTATAGAAGATAAGACATACTAATTGTGACAGATAATTCTCAAATGTGAGCCAGGAAAAGCGAGGGGCATCGGAACAAATTAGTTCCCTCTTATTCATAATTTGAATGGACATAATATGATTTTGCTTCAGCAGATAAATTCGTTATGAACTCAAAAAAGATTATTGGAGTTGTAACAATTATTTATACGTCGAGCATTTCAGGTTATTAAGCGCATGTCCAATGGTGGAGCTGATTTCTCTTTTGAATGCGTCGGTGATACTGATATGATAACCACTGCATTGCAGTCATGCTGTGATGTAATACTCTAAACCTGCGTAACTAAAGATCTTGTTTTGTTGTTGATAGATTTTTTATACAATGAACTTGAAATTATACCGCAATTACATTGCATCTTTCCTTTTTCCTCGTAGGGATGGGGTTTGACTGTTACCCTTGGTGTGCCAAAAGTGAAGCCTGAGATGTCAGCTCACTATGCACTGTTATTAATGGGAAGAACATTGAAAGGATCTTTGTATGGAGGATGGAAACCCAAATCTGATTTGCCTTCATTAGTTGAGAAGTATGTGAATAAGGTAACAGCAACAGCAACTGCAATATTTCCCATGATCCGTGATTCCTTTGTACATATACGCTTGAACAAATGTGCAAAAATACAACTAGCCCAAATGTTCAACAGTATCATTTGACCCAACTTGTGGCTTTCTCCTCATGTCTTTAAGCGGTGATTTTGTGAAGAAATACCTATTAATATCTTTATTAAATGTGCAGGAGATCGAGATTGACGATTACATAACGCACGATTTGCCATTTGACGAAATTAACAAAGCTTTCAATCTCATGAGGGAAGGAAAGTGTCTGCGCTGTGTTATCCACATGCCCAGGTAAATCCTGTGGCTTCTTGTTTTCTTGAATTAAAAGCAAAAAATGGAATATCATTGGAGAAGACAACGAACTTGTCTGCAAGAGTTATTTGTACGGACAACATTGTTCATGGTTTGTCGTCAATGTCTTCAAGAACCCAACATCATGCTGCCGTTACTATGTTGAATTCCTGCGGCCAAGTAGGCTTTCTACCAAGTGAAATGTTTCTTCCCATGGCATTAGAACTGGAAATAAGTGACTGGGACCTAAGAGGTGAGCTCTAGGATCTTTCTGTTTTGAAGGCTTATGAATGAGAGCCAATTAATGAACACTTATTTTCGTGCGCGTGAAAAATTGACTAATTGTTAATGTTTTGTGGATGTAAGGTTTCGTTTTTAATACGTTTGAGTATTAATCACTGAACTATGAGGAACCTCGTCATTGATCTTCCGTACTGGACAGTGCAAAAAGCCAAAAAGCTAGACAATAAGCCCTTCTATTTATAAGGCGTACATACATACATACATATAAAAGGTTTTATATCAACATTTGTCAATGTATCAATATTCAAATGCCTTAATGTTTCATTGTAAATTTGAGTCTCCGGTAAGGTTTTTAGCAGAGTATCTATAAAGGAATATAAATGATAAATTATATGCTAAACAATTTTAACCTCAAATCTCTTCATATAGGACTGAAATCCAAACAGGGAGTAGGTAAGGGAGAACTTTTCTGTGTATTTGTTAATGAATTGCAAACTATCGTTTAAACACACCCTGAAATATAATTAGTTCGGAAATTAGTATAAAAGATAAAGTAATTAAGAAATACTACCTTCGGTCCTTAATATAAGACATTGTTTGACTTTTATTTTGGTTCTAAATATAAGATTTCAATTTACTTTGTCTTTCATATTTATATTTTTTTTTTAAGATAGTCCTTTTAACTATGATAATTCTAGCAACTATACTTAATTAGCAAGAATTTTTTTTGAAAAAACAACACCTATTTATTATAAATAACTAACTTAACTTATTTTTTTAATCTCCTCAAATTTGTCAACTAGCTCTTATAATTAACACCGGAAGTAGTATTAATCTGGGTGCGTCTGAAATTTCATGTGAATAAATATCAACCGAATGTATTATAAAAGATTAATTCTGAAAACTTCGGAAGGTGGGGAAATTATGTTTTTCAAAAAGGAAATTTATTTATTAGACAAAAAATATGCGCATATTTTTCTCAATATTTAAACATTTCTTATAAATATTCATTTGTATGTCTCAGTGAAAGCCGAACTTACAAGCACATAGTCGGAACTTTTGACGGTTTTTCTTTTCTTTTTCTCCCCCCCCCCCCCTCTCATATTCCCCTCTTATTGCTCAAAATTACTTATTCACTTAAATTTTAATTATTTCAAGGGAGAAACCAAATTAGAGCTGACTTTTGGAGAGTAAACAATGCTAGATTGCTAACCTTATTTTTCTGACTCGCGACATTTGTTTTTTCGTTTTTTTTTTTTTTGAAAGATTCTGACTTGTGACCTTGATGACGAAGAATGCATCAGTTCCCCCTCTCTCTAAGCTAATGAGAACTCGTATCATTCGTGAAATCCCAACTTTTAGATAACCTAACAAAAGCTATTCTGTCTCTTTGAATGCTGTTTTTAGGTAAGGAAGGTAACCTCATCCCTGTCGCTCGTGACACCAATCAAGTTCACATTCCAACACATCAATCTTCCCAACAGAAGTCAAATAACCAAACTCTTTATATCTCCATGCTCATCACCATTGAAACAATGCTTTTTCACTAGCGTCCTTATTGCTCGTACAAAGAACCAAAGGACACTCTCATCCATGGCAGATCATCAGAGAATCTATCCCATGGAAGCCACAGAAGCACCACCACCTTCACCACCAACGGCGCCACTGATGCTGCCAGGCTCATCAAGATCGGAAAAGAGTGTTCCGGTGATGGCACAGCAACACCCTGCGTTAATACAACATGCTAGGCCTGTAATCCACCCACCTAAACCAAAGAGAGGTTGCTTTTGTAAATGCATATGCTGGACACTAGTCTTGCTTATAATCCTACTCATCATGTTGGGAGCAACTGCAGGAATCATCTACCTAGTTTTCAAACCAAAGCTTCCCAATTACTCAGTAAACAGCCTAAGGATAAGTGATTTGAGGTTGAACTTTGACATGACTCTGTATGCAAAGTTTGATGTGAAGATTACAGCGAACAACCCAAACAAGAAGATTGGAATTTACTATGAGAAAGGAGGAGGGTTGAGTGTGTGGTACTCAAACACTCAACTTTGCGAAGGATCATTACCTGAGTTTTACCAAGGCCATCGGAACAAAACAGTACTTGATGTGTCCTTGACCGGTCAAGTGCAAGCTGGAAGCACTTTAATGGCAGCACTGCAGGAACAGCAGCAGACAGGGCGTGTTCCTTTGGAGCTTAAGGTCCACGCACCAGTAGCCATTAAACTCGGGAGGTTGAAGCTGAGAAAGGTCAGAGTCTTGGGTGAATGTATGTTGACAGCAGATAGCTTGTCTGCTAATAATCCGATAAGCATCAAGGCTAGCGACTGTAAATTCAGAGTCAAACTTTAAGTTTTATACACGATGATGATTTCTGCCTTGTTCCCTGCATTTTACCCTACAGTGGCAGCCTCTCACGTTGCCTTGAAGGATTTCTTCTGTGTCTGCATTAGAAGATCTATTCTTTTTCTGAATAAACGTTATCATGGGAAATTAAAGTTTTTTCAATTACCAATCTTCTTTCATCACTAGTAAAGGGAAACTGGCATGTGATATGCTTGAGTTTATTTCTTAAGTGACACTTTCCTAAACATTAAGTGCCGCTAGTTTTGATCTTGACCTTGATCTCCCCCTCCCCGCCTTTTTTTTCTTTTTCTTTTTCTTTTCTTTTGTTTTTCTTCCTCCAAATTTTGTAATCTCAAGGCCCACCCATCTAACCAAAAATAAAAAGAAAAGATTAACTTATGGCCTTCCTCTGGAGGAGAACGTAAAAAATGATAATAGTATAATAGAGCAAGTGCTCAACGACAAGAAGAAACAGCTGTAAGGCAACCAGAAAGCGGACAGACAATTTAAGAACTACTTCAACGTATGCGCCTTTTATAGGAACCACAATACACAATAGCTAACAAGAACAAAATGCTTAAAATATCCAAGGGGATAGTGGTAAATAGTTTATCAGAGGTGCATCATCAAGCTTTGTCGTATAAAACAGTCCATTGTATGCTAATGAAATAAACATACGATACTATAAAAACTTCTATAATTCTCATCAAAACATAAAACTTTAGTGTTTCTCGTATTTCCATACCTATTTTACAAGGCAAGTCAAATGAGGCTTTTAAACAACTAAATAAATTGCAATGTTTAGATTTGCTGAACTCCTCAAGCAATGGGGATTTAATGAACAGACAAGGTACCCCCTCTAATTGAAAATACACTCTATTGCCTGTTATTGTTGTGGGAAAGAAAGCCTTCAGTGTTCATGTGGAGAATGTATGCAATTAAATGATTAATCACCAATTAAGGCACGTGGTCTATGCTCAATAGTGGAAAGGGACATCCCTGTCTGAGAAACTGCTCTGACAAACGCCATGTTTGCAGTTAAAGTTGGAGCGTGCCAATAGTCACCAGTGCCAAAAACAACCTTATTTTTCATTGCCAACTTTCTTGTTGTTGGCAGACCCATCATCCGTTCTGATGGACAATCAGGAACAACCCTGAGAAAATACCCCAGTTTGTTAGAGAAACATATTAAAACTATTAGATCAGACATCAGCAAGTTGAAAAATCAAAACTAACGAACAAAGTTTAAGTGAACTACATAAATACAAAATTAGGGGGAAACTCAAATTCAGCAAGAGCAACTCCACGACTTCAGTAAATGTTTAACTACACAGCACTAGATTTAACTAGGAATAATAAAGAATTAATCTTCCACTTGATTACGTATGACCAATTATTCAAGCATGGTGACCAAGTAATAAACATTGTTATATTCCATAGAGGTTATAAAAGATTATCTTTAATAAGGTGTTAATGCCTTAGCTGGTTCTTTCAATCCGTAAGACAAGGCAAATACTGATAAAAACCTTGCGATGGGGCTGTTCCACAGAACTAGATAACAATGATGGAGTAGCTAAATGATTCTTATGGTTAACAAAACAGCGTATCCCCGGAATTTTCGAAGAATAAAATAAGTGATTTGGCAATTAAATAATATAGTCATCAAATTCACCTTAGGCTATTTATTAATTTGTCAGCTCTCAGTTTCTCATTCGGCCCTCCACACATTAATACCAACTCCTTGAATTCCATATGGACACTCTCACAAATCATGCCTGTCTTTCCACATAACACTCTGCTGAATTCCACATGGATCGGATTCTGAATTTCAGACATTGCCTGAAGAAAAAGGTGAGAAAAACTTCAGCCAAATGAGAAGAATGCTGAGAAAAGCTTTTATAATTTAGAAAAACTACATAAAATACAAAACACATAATTCTACATTGTGCGTTTAGCCCATACTGTGATTTTATCTGAAAAATGCTATTCCATATGATAGAAATCTGATCAGTACTGTAACTGACAATCAATTTAACAGCCTCATTGCTCCAGTTGACTTTCAATAAGGACACTGAAACGAAGAAAACTTGTGGATAAGAGTTTATTGTTATAAAATATTTCTTATTCCTGGTAAATGGTAATCATGTTAATAAGATCTATTAAGATATGGCGAAGTAAGGAAACAAGGAATGAATTATTTACAAGCCAGGAAAGCCATCAAATGTTTAAAATTAAGTCTACAGTTGTAAATGCCATAAAAAAACCGATCGACAGCTAGAAAAAAAAGTTTCAATTTGATCCTTTGAAATTCAAAAGGTCCGATGTGTAGTTAAATAGCTCTGCATTCTAACGAAAAAGAGTTCAACCTCAGGACCAGTCAAACAAGCTCTCACGTTTAAGACCCAAGTACCACATAGCGTGATTAAGTCAAACTTTAAAACTGAATAATCATGATGTGCGTTATCTGACCCTTAGGGATGAATAACCAAACAGATTGGTCTTTTTCTCTTTTGGGAGGAAAAAAACTAGCTGTTCATTGTGTAAATTCATGAAGCCTACATAGTCACTGCTGGGTAGATAACCATTATGATAACATGACTATCTCACCAGGAGAAAATAACATAAAGAAATGAAAAAATGTGGCGCAAATATGGGTGAGATTACTCACTTGACCAACCACAAACTCATAGTTTCCTTTGAATCTCTCCCTCAATTCACTCTCTGGACGAGCCAAAAGATTCTGGGCACCACCATTACTAATTCCTGTTACAAGAGCTATCAAAGCTGTTGTATCAAAGTTTATCAAATCAACTTCTCTAACGTAGTTTCCTGGTTCAGAAGATTCTAAATTTTTAATTTTCAGGGAGCATAATTTCAGTCCCAGAACAATGGAGCAGAATGCATTAGCCATGTTGGCTTCACAATCTTCAACAGAAAGCTGAGGTTGAGCAGTTTTCTCAACTGAAACCCCTAGTTGAGCAGAGTCCACAGTCAAACCTTTGTCAATATGTTCTACCCCTGAAACAGCATCCTTGCTATTGATCGGTTTTATTTCAAGGATGCAAGCGTCTTTATAAGATCTTGCCAGTATGTTTATCCAGTCTCCTTCTGATTCCTCAAATGCATCAAAGTTGAAAACTGAAGGCCCCAATCCAATTTCTGACGCCCCAAACTTATCTTGAAGTTTTTTGTAGACATGGTTTGCAATCCCATTCGCAAAGAAAAGTATAACTGAGGAAGGTCTTAATGTTAAGCTAGATTGTGCAGCAGCTAGGACTTCTTGCATGCGCAATTCTAAACCCTTACTTTTATGACATCTATGCCAAGAAATGTACCTTGGATTTCTATCAGAAACTATAATCCAGACTGGTTTCCTGTTGAAGGTACACACTATATCCACATGGATGTCTTTGAGAGAAGAACAACGACTCTCCTCTCTTCTGACTGTAGGTAAGAGTGGAACTGACTTACAAACTCGAGAAACTCCAGTTATGAAAGGCTGCTGTAGGATGTGCACCACTGCCTCAAGGTGTCCAATGTTGACACTGTATTTGACAATAGAAGATTAACCACTTTGCCATCTAATAGAATTTATAGTTCTGAGCTGAAATCAAGACTAAGAGAAACCAATCCTTTTCCCCTGGTTTCCAAAATGGAAGTTATCTCATCAGGTTAAAGTCTTATTCTAAGGAAATAGACAATACAATAGGCCTAACAAAATGTTTCATCATGTGATAAGCCAAAAAGACCTGGTCTGCTCCATCATCTGCTCAGATGATTAATGACCACAGGAGGGTACTTAATGCCCTCCGCCGACCTCCAACGACAATTAAGTTGACACAAAGAAATCAACTTGAGATATCTCTTAGTTCACGGGGATCCATGTTATCCACACGTTTGAAAATCGGTTTAAAAAAAAAAAGGTTTAGATTGACATGTATAGAAATTCAACATTACTACATTATTATATTATTTTATATAAAGCACATAAATTTCGAAGCTTTCATAACTAATATATGCAAGCATCTTATAAATATATCTATAAACGTTTTTAATTCTCATTTACAAAACGTTATTCCATGAATAGCCCAATGATTCCTGCCCCATTAACAGGATGACACCTTCATGGATAGCTATCAATATATGGTATGTCATAAATTTCGCCTTCCAAAAACTTATTCTCGTCCAAAACAGGCTGCGACGACACAACAGAAGAGAAAAGACGTATTCCTTCAATTTATTATTCGACGAGGAAAACAGACAAAAACTGTATTCATTAACATAAATTTTTTTTAAGGAAAAAAACTGTATTCATTTTTTCTTTCGAACAGACGAGGACTATAACAGTTCGTATCAGCTCAGAAAAGAGAGCGGAAAGCCTCATCAGTCACATTTGAACTAATCCTCCTAGCAGCCAAACAGATGGAAACGCTTGAAAGGCATATAGAAATGAGACGAACCTGAGAGGCGTAGAAGTAGTAGCAGAAGAAGAAGCGAAGCAAGATAGGAAAGAGAGCTCGGAGCGAGCTAATTTGAGAAGGGTGCGGCGGCATGAGTCGGTGATCTTGGTGGAAGCAGGCAACTCTTGAATTCTATCAATAACGAACCTGCATCTCTGCTTCGCCAATTCCACTTCTGCATCTCTCTGCTCCTTCATTGTAGGTATCGATCACACCATCACACAACTTCAGCGTCAAAGGTTTTGGTTTCCGCACAAACACAGGAGTCAGCAAAACAAGCTCCTTCCCAAGCTAATGTAATAACATTGTCATACATAGTACATTATATTATATTTTTCATTTTCATAGCATTAAATAAAAAGAAATTTATCTTTTTTTAATGAATTTAACATTATTTTAAGGGAGAATTACGATTAAATCTCATAAGAAAAAAAATTACAAAATAAGTCTTAGAGGATGTCATTCTCCGTTGTAGGATTGCTCAGTTTATTAGAATCTTTTAGTAGTTATTTTTTTTTGTGGAATTTAATTGTAATTCTTTCTTATTTTAATTTGACTTACAAATATAAAAGTTTACTTTGTAAATATAAATTGTTAAATATAATTTATAAGTTAAGTACTAGTATGTAGTTTAAATTACTTATCTGATCTTTAATATAAAACCTATTTAACTAATTTGATTAGATTAAGAAAGTTAGGTAACTTGGTTAATTATAAAAAATATGATATATTTTTCCTAAAACACTATAATAATCTTCCTTAATATCCTCCTTTCCTCTTCTACTTAATTATGATTGAGTGAGTATTTATAAGGGTAATTTAGAAAAAATCGATAAATATAAGAAATAACTGTTACATTTAGGATTAAAATCAACTATATTAGAGACCAAAAATTAATAAATAATATAGGACCTAATTATTGGGTTGATTTTGATCCTATATTAAAGACCAAAAGAGTATAATTATATTTTAAAACCTTTTTATATGCTCTCCAATAATACTTATTTTATAATGTAAATTACATTACAAAATGAATAACTAAATACGGGAGTTTTTTATGAGAGAATAATTATATCATGTTTTTGGCTAACTAATAGTTTATTTTACTGATTTTCTATAAAAAACAATAATACTGGTTTTTTTAATATAAGAATCAGTTGACCAATTTAAGTAAATTAAGAAAATTTGTGAAGTTAGTTATGTGTAATAATCATGTGTTATTTTTCTTAAAATATTTTTGATAACCAATATTAGGTAAAACTACAATTTGATTAAGGATTTTTTTTAAAAAAAAAGAGATTAATATGAGAAACAAATTAAATTAGAATCTTATATTTAAATCAAATTAAAAATCAAACTAATTCTTATATTAAACAATAAATATAATATCATCAAATCAAAACTCAGAAGGATGGTTCCGGAAAATAAAAGCCGAGGTGAAATAAAATATTTATGTTCCCCCCGGGGCTCCGTCGCCGAAACAAAACGGCCTCCTATTCGGCTTTCGCTCATTAATCGGCGATTCTGAACTGAGTTTGGTGTCTCAACTTTCGTCGGTGAGGAAATTACCAGCTAGGTTTCCAATTTATGTCTTTCTCTTTCTCTTCTCCGCTTTTGTGTTTCTTTTTTGCGGTTCTATTACTCCTCCCCGTTGTCTATTCCTTTATTCTCTTTCCCTCTTCCACTCTTGGAGGCGGCGCCCGCTGATTCCGGTGTGACGCCACGTCCTTGTATCAAAGTGCAAGCATTTGAAAACTTATCCAGAAGTACTCATCCCTGTAATTTGAGCAAAGAAATACCTATGAAGAACTATTTATCTGATACGTGCCTGATCCGCAGATGTATTTCTTTGTTTCAATTTGTAGTGTCCCGCTGCTCTGGTGTTGTGTGTTAGGAATACTGTGAATGTGGAAGAGAAGTCGTTATCGTTGTTAGGAGTTGTTATTCTTTGGTATGACTAACGGACGCAATCTACCTGAGAGTAGTTATGTGAGTTTATGAGATGAAGTTCTGAATTCTAAGTCGCTCTCTTTCTCCCATTCCTTCTGTTCTTTTTTCTTCTATGATTGTAAGGAATAGCATAGGCTTCTAATAATGAATTCTCTTTCTAATTTGAATTTAGAGCAATTGGAAGCTCTTGAAGTTCTGAAGTAAAGATGGGTGATGAAGATGATTCCATCGAACAAGCTGCTGCATCACGTAGAGAAAGGCTGCGGGCTCTTAAAGCTGCTCAAGAATTGATGAATACTCCTGATGATGACACTAAACAAGCTAATGATAAGACAAATGACGATGAAACTACTGAAGAGCAGTATGTATTTTCTAATTTCTAACTCGAGAGTTATCATTCTCACTCCGTCTTCAAATATGTCTAAGCGCACAATTTTTGACTGAGAATGATGAGATTGTTTTAATTTTAGTTAGTAAATTTAACTTTTACTTCTTTTTTAATTTTTTTTAACAGTTGGTGAAATAATTACTACAAAAGCTGGCCTGGATAGTTATTTGAAATTTACAATTCTATCTCTTTCATGTGCAAGTATTAACAAAAATATGTATACCTTTATATCTGACTGCAAGATTCTGTATACATCTAAACGAAGCATAAGTTACTTTAGGCCATGTGTTCCCTGTGATGATTTTATGGGATGGCATGAACTCACACAACAAAGTAGCTCTGGGTTCTGATATTCACTCAGTTTGTTAAAGAAAATTGCTGGAAAATGAGAAGAGCCTTACAGTTATTATTGTCTAGCTAGTCTTTAGCGTCATAGTAGTTTTGATTATGGATATGTAAATCAGGCAAACAGCACGTATGTGCTCAACTAACATCAAGATAACTAGATGAGATGATATCAAATTGCTTGGAAATACCCTTTACAGAAGTTGCATTATTTGTTTGTGCAAAATGCTGGCCTTACATACACTATCTGTACAAGATCACTTAAATGACTATACATATTTTGATACAAATAAAATTTAAATCACATATGGTTACGAAGTTTTTGCATGTTTAAATTTAAATGTTAGAACACCTTAAAGAATTTATCAACTTCTTATTGGTTAATCTTTCTGATATGTATTGGTTTAAAAATTATTAAATTTTCTTTTCATAGAGTTCCATATGATTACTTGGAATTCATATGAGATGGATATTGGTGTTATTAACTCTTAACTGACATGTTTTTTGTGGTTGCAGAAATCCCATGAAATTTCGTAATTATGTTCCTCAGGACAAACACCTCCAGGAAGGGAAGCTTGCTCCTGCCGTGCTACCAAAGTTTGAAGACCCTGTTGCTGCTGCCCCTCCACCTGAGAAGGAGGTCATTGGTTTTGTTTCAATATGGTCTATTCTTGTCATCTATCAACGATTTACTTGTGGTCTATCAACTCAAGTATTTGAGGTCAAACATGCAGGATCCTTTTTTGAATATTGCTCCGAAGAAACCTAACTGGGACCTGCGGAGAGATGTGCAGAAGAAGCTTGATAAGCTTGAAAAACGAACTCAGAAGGCTCTTTACAAACTTATGGGTAAGTGGTTGGCATTTTCATGACTTCTCATTTTCCAGTTGGTTAAATACTCTCATGATACCTCTTTGTACTGACTCTCCTAGTATTGCAAATTATCGGTATCAATGCGTAAATCATGTTGATGTCACAAATTACAAATGTATGATTCAATTCTCAAAAGACCACTCTCTTCAGCTTGGTTCTCTAACTCTGAAAGGTTATTCTCTCAATTGGACCCTCTAAAGAGTCTCAAATTAGTCCTTTTAACACTTCTAATAAAAAAAGGTCCTTGAAAAGAACCTCAAATGCTTTTTTCTGGAGGGGCACTTTTGAAGGACTAAATTGAAAGGAAAGTGATTTTATACGTATCGAATCATTGAGCCTAATCTGGCGCCCTAATCATGACTGTTTCCCACATCGTTAACAGTCATATGCAGAATCCTGCATTAGTGGTATAGTCTTTTAGTGATTTTCCTTGTTATCTAATAGTTGATTATGTGAGGATTAAGCTTTCTTTTTAGGGCTGGGGGCTTTCTTCATGCTCAGGTTATAAGGATCAATAACATTGAGCATTCTATTTGTGGCAGGGAAAAAGGGAAACCAATGTTGAGATTATCTTTTCAGTTAGATTCGTTGTGAAACTCAGAGAGACAAGTAGCTATAATTTTAGTAGTTCTTAGCAGTTTTAAATGTTAAAAATTCTTCATTGGGTTCAACTGGCAACGTTCTTTGTCATGATTCATGAACTTTCGCTAATTACTAGTGATTAGTTCCATGCCATCCATGTGTAGGACTCTGAAATATGTCAAAGGTTTATGGGCATCCCTTTGAATCACTTGTGAGCCTTTGCGTGATAACTAAATAGGTTTGCATTTTCGTTTTTTTGCAGAGGAGCAAGAAAAACAACAACTATTGACTGAAGGGGATGATACAAATGGCACCGCAGATTAATTGTAGAATCTGAAACAACCTCATTGACCAATGCAGAAGTCAGTACTAATGCTACACCTTGCTTTTGCAGTGTATGATTACTGTTATATTACTCATTCTGAATTTAGAGGTAAAAAATCATGGATTCTTGCAGCTTCTCCCCCCCCCCCCCGGGGGTCTTCGGGAATTAAAATGCCACTTCTAAACATTTGAGTCAATCGTCATTCTCCCACTCGGCTTGTCCTCTTTTGATTTAAGGGGATCAGATTATGGAATGTGGGAGTCTTGCAGAAAATTGAAAATGCCACACTAAATATTCAGGGGTACATTAAAATTTTGCTTTAAGATTGTTTTTACATTTGTTGATTACCTAATCCATTGTTTTCTATTAAGCTTTTTTTTTCAAAAAAAAATATATACATATACTTCGGTCCCCCCCCCCCCAATTGACGGTGGAAAAATGAGTCGGCTTAAATATGTACTTTTTGTTTGATGGACTTAGACAATTTAAATTTCTTTCTATGAAAATAACTATTTCAATTGTTTTGGGGATTTTCCAATAAAGAGTCATAAATATATTAAAGGATTGTCATTTTTTTAAAAATTCAAATTGAGGGATCTCTTGTGCTGATTTTTTTATCTCAAACAACATATGGCATATAAAAATCAGTACCACCGAGGATCAAAATTTTGGTAATACGCGCTTTGTTTTCTAGAGTACGCTCTGTGCCATAGGGACTGAAGGTGAAATACTTAAAGAGTTTATTATATTTTGTCTTCAGCGTTAATTCACTTCACTCGTATTCTGTTATTTGTTTAATATATCTTCAACGTGACGTGGATTTTATCTTCCTTTCGGTCTAGAAGCTACGTTTCTTATAACTAGTAATAACTATAGGGTAGACAAAACAAATCCATTTCTAGAAGCATGAAGGTTGAGAAAAATATTTCAGATATGGCGGTTCAGTGCATTATTTCAGATGACGCAAAGTCCAGAAGGGGTTTTGCAGATTTTCTTTTTCGCATTGCTCCAGAAAGCAAAAATTTTGCAACATTAACATCATATGCCCTTGATAAAGTATTGTTCCTTCATAACAACCAAGCTGGAAATCGATTTATGAAGAAAATGAAGGAGTTAAAAGGAATTAAAAAAAAGCAAGAAAAATAAACTTTTCTCTATTTATGAGAAATAAAATTACTTTCTTTTTTGTGAATCTCAACCCACACCATACCCCCCCCCCAAAAAAAAAAAAACACCACTTGAATTGCTTCTGGTGGCAAAGAATACCCTTTAGTGCTTAAAGTTGACATCCTTCCTTGCAGAAGGCGGCCATATATCTGCGGTTTGTAAATCGTTCGGCTTCATTTTTTAACTCTTCAGATGGTTAGGGCCATTTTGTTCCTCCCCTGTGTTCTCCCCCGTCCAAGAGGGATCCACCTGAGGAAGTTGATATTCATCCGGCTTCAAGGCCAATGAAAAATCAGGCAAAATTGGCGCTGTTTCCATGATTCTGTAACAAGGGCAGAGAAACGCAACGGAAAATTTGATCAGCCAACATGCCGTTTTAATCATCCAATAATTATAGTGAAACAAAAGTAAGGCAACAGTCATCAAGTCTGGAAAACTTTACCTCTCATAAGAGTAGAGATCATGGTTTATTCGCACCTTGCTTGAAGTATCCTTGGGAATTTTTTCAGATAGATACTTCATGGTTCCCCAAAGTGGAGGATTTCTTCATGGTCGGCCACGAAAAAACCAAAAATAAAAGGTCTTTAGTAACACTGTAATCGTCATCATGAAAGGAACATTACAAATGAAGTTAAGCCATCATGACGGAGAACATCAATGAAGTAGGTTCAACAAATATAATAGGGAAATAAGAATGATATGATCAAAATCCACCCCTAAAATCATAAGTTATTACCAAAAAGCATTGTGCATGAGCCCATGGCCAACACTAATACAATGTTTGGTGCAGGAAAAAGTGTTTTTTGAAAATGGAAATGGGAGATTGAAAACCCGAAACAAGACATAAAGGGATGTATAAGGGAAATAATAATAACCTTGATAGTGGAGGTGCAGCATTGAATGCCTCACAAAGCTTCTTACTTTCTTTGAAATACTCGTCTGCTGCTTGCAAAGCGGCAGCAGCTAGACCTTGAGACTTCTCTGTATTCCCCTCATCAAGAATCAAGCCATGATAATAATATGCCGCAGCCTGTTCATTAATTACAATTTATGACAGATATCAACTACTTAAAATACCTATACTTAATAATTAGTGTGCTAAGACTTGAGAGCAGAAGAGACCATCACAGACCTGTGCGCATGTCCAGAATTATTTTCATTGTCTCATTAGCAGGGAACTCAGCTTAGAAACACCAAGATCGGAACGTGGCCAGTATATAATATAAAGACCAATCAACCTTTCAGTTTGTGTATTTTAATAACCAAATTGGGATACCAAGAGCCTTTGGCTCCAATGGCACCCACACCTCTCTTCAATGAAAGAAGTTGCGGGATCAAACTCTAAGTGGGTATGTGGGTGGTGGGTATGTGTGTCAAACTTCCTTTTGGGGAAGGATATGCCCACTTGGAATTAGATCCCACAACCTCTCCCATGTAAGGGAGGTGTGTGTGCCACTTGAACCAAAGGTTTTTGATTCAGGTAGGTGTGTGTATTAAATCAAACTTGAATAACCTAATAAGCTCAACATAAATGCTAGCACCCCATGTCCTCAATCATCATGCAGGGAGGAGGGAGAGGAAAGTGAAAGTCTGAAATGCTTAAGTTTTGAAATAATTAAAACAAAATTAATTTAAGATATACCTTTGATTCAACATACTTCCACTTCACAAAAAGAGAGTGTTTTTGGCCCCAACCATTGGCTAATGGAAGGTTCATAACGTTGTCTTGAGCCTGTGAAATGCATGTTGAACAAATGTTATCAATAAATAATAATAATTCTTCACCACCCATTCCCACAAAGTCATTGGAATAAAGTTTTTTGGGTTAAGGAAGAGAAACTTGTAAAGGTTAAGCCAACCAAAAGAAATTAGATATTTTCATAATAAATTTTAGATATAACCAATAACATATGAAGGACCCCAAAGGACGATACAGTAAACATAGCCAATGACTAACTATACCTATTAGAGGAATAGAAAATGATAGCAAAGACTCAAAAGTAAGGAGGGATTAATGAGAAAAAGGAAAGTATAAGCATAAGAACAACCCTTACCAATGAAACTCCAAAAATAACGAAACAGTAATGCAATATTTGGTATGTAGAGAAGTGTTTTTTTCCACCAGGGAAATGAGAAATGCATCTATCTCATTTTCTTTCTAGGTTCACTTTCCATTTCCTTTCTAGAAAACACTTTTGTGCATACCTAACATAGCAACATTGCCCACAGGAAAGATAAAAAGTGCAACCCAGCCTTTGTACCTGTTGCCAATACTTGACCATCTCACATGCAAGTCTACGCTTCACTGCAAGAGTGGCTTTGGTATCATCCATTGCTATTCCAAGCTGGACACCTACACCCTAAAAATGTCAATGGAAGAAATAAACACAAATAAATCCAAATGGAATTGAACACCCACACCAGGCATGTGGATGAGTCACCCACAGATGAATCTATAAAATTTTGAATCCATGAGTTCTATCTCAAGGCACTGATCATGAGATACCCGCTTTAACAACCTTCAAACAATATTTAGCTAAATTTAATTAACTTTGGAAAATGGGAGTTGTATCAGAATCTTGACTGCTCGGTCATAAAAGCTTTGGTTTCAAAATCTTTGGTGAGGATTTCAGTTCTCAAGTCTAGGTCAGCTGTCTTTCAATTTAAACTTGCCGGATGAAAGTCAGCAAATATAATAATTCTTTCTTTATGTACATACAAATGAACATCACAATACCTGCCCCAATGCCTGTAGACATAGTGCTTGAAGAACCCCTTCTGCCAGGTCTACCGGTAAATTTCTCCTAAAATCAGAACCAGTGGTAAGGAGAAATAAATATAAAAAAAGAAATGCCACGAGATTACCAAAAAAGAGTGCTGTCGCATCATATCTGTACAAACCTGAGTTCAGAAGGTAACTGGGGAAGAACATGTCTGATTGCACAATCCAGATATCCAGCTGCCTTCAAGAAGATGTCAATTGAAGTTCGTTGGCTTTCTGTCAGTGAGTACCAAAAGTCAAAATTGATTTGTACAACTAACATATAGTAGGGAAGCACTTGATATAAAAAGCAGAACAATAAAATTATTGCTGAAGTTTAATTATTTTACCGTTGAAATATAAATTCCTTTTCCAGAATACAGGTAGATTGGCAGAAAAACAAACGGGAACATTATGTACTCCTTTTCCATATATCTAGTGCATGGATTTCTGTTGTACTAGAGAGGGGGGAAGAGAATCCCGTCTCTTGTCCAACACCAAGAAGAAGTACGACTCATTAGTAATTACTTTTAATCAAAATAACTTTTCTTCAGCAGTAAATCTAATTAAGTTTTCAATGAAGAGATCATTTAAGTTAAAAAAAATCATAAAATCATATGTCTACATAACCAATGCGAGACATCTCCAAAGAAGCACAAAATAATTCAAAAATTTAACGCTTGAAACCAGTTTATCAGCAAAAAAGCATAAAATTGGGGGCAAGTACATAGCCAACAGAAGGCCTAGATCAATCTGAATTTATGCTGATTATTTGGTATGAGAAGAAAACAAAAGGTTAGAGAGAAAAAAGCAAGGAACAAAGTTATCGTGTACCATAAATTGTTGTTCAGTATTACCCACCTTCTGATACTTTTGGCTGATAACCATCAGCAGATGTTCTAGGAAGAAGTAATAAATTGGCCTGTGATAGAGATAACATTGCCATCAAGTGTAAAACTGACAACACTTCATACCAAGCATTTGACATGGCTGTTTCCTACAAGATAATAGAAGGAGAAAAAGAAAAAATATCCGCACTCATAAGTAATAACAATTAATAATAGATTCTCAAACCAAGACCTGTACAACATATCCATTATGAAAATTTACCTCCGCATCATCCTCTTGATTAATCCAAACAAATTGTACTTTGCGTTGCAGTTGACTTCCTGCACAATAAAGATATTTAATAAATGTTAAGACATAGCCTAGATGGAGCATACTTCAAGTACATATAGAGTAAGCATGCTTACCATCTTTAACTAATCCCAAAAGGACTGGCAAGTAGTCTTCAAGAGCCTGCTGAAGATCAGCCAATGTTGAACCTCCTGCGGCAGATGGAATAATACGATGCATGAATAACATTAGACAACATTCTTAAATAAAACGTTTTCATCTTTTCCTAAGCTTACCATGTTGAGTGGCACTTTTTCTTTTTGTTCTTGTAGTTGTAGGACCTTCTTGGCCACCCATCACAACTACACGAGTTTTGAGAGCAGATAGACGTTCCACTGCATTCTTAGATAAGTAATCACCAAGATACTGAGCAAAATCGACAGGTTTGGGAATTCTTAGACCAGGAACATAGACTGAAACTTCGCCAATACTTCCTGGTTTTCTTCTATTTCCACCACATTCCCTTCGAGCAGACACTACGCAGCCCATATTGTATGGTCCGCTACACCTGCAGATCAACTCAAGTAAAATAATCATCTCAGAATCTCAGGTGGTTTCTTCGTAATAATTTGATATGACACTTCGGCGCCAAGAAGTAATGCTTTGATATAATACGGTGACAAAGAAAGTGATTTATTATGCCTAAATTCCAGGAAGGTAGTGACACTTGGAAAAAAACAAAAACAGAGAAGGGAAAAGGCCACAGCTGAGGGGTTAACCAACAAATAAGTCATTGTAGGTACTTACAAGCAGCATAACAAAAATAAGGGGGGAAAAGAGGAACTCTCTTGAGAATTTTCATTATGTTAAGCCCCATCAAAAACAAGAGACAAAGATTATCTAAACAACCTTATCCCTCACCCTTCGATGGCTCCGGTTGTCCAGTCAGGTCAAGAGGTCCAGTAATCTCTATACAAAATATTCAAGTAATCTCTGCCAACAACATTCGCAAAATCTGAGGGTCAGAAAGACATACATTTAAAAGCCTTTAAATCACAAGAACAGCATGAGACTTGATAAGTATTGTCTGGGTCAATGTTCTATTGTGATTAACAGAAGAAAGAGACTCCCAAAGTTAACACCAGGCCAGCATGACGATCAATCATAAAACTTAATGGTATGAATCACCCGGCAACCCATTACACTGGCCACAAAGCCACAATAGGGAGAACTGATAAGTAAGATTCCCGCTCAACCAAAATTAGAAGTTGGGAACTTCAACAAGGTAAAGTGGCGTCAAGCAAAAGGTGTTAGATCATAAATTTCAACCAGGAAAACAGCTAAATTTCAGCTAAGAGTGACACTTGCGAGTGAAGGATCCCCAAAGATAAATAAAAAGCAACAATAGCAGAAACGCAAAGGAATATCAGCATTCTCTCGTCTCTTTCTTGCACTTTTTGATAACCTGTTTTCCGGCTGCCTTGAATCACCCGTCAAAAAGCACAAGATAAGGCGTAAAGCAATAATGAACCAGAAAACCAGTGATGTTTCGAGGAAAAAGGTGAAAAAAGGCCGCATTGCGTGCATAGAAAACACACAGAATCCTCGGTTCCAGAAGTGGCATTACAACCCAAAAACTCCTTGTCCGAATTCTTCTTGACCCATAGACTGATCATAGCTTGACTAATTTTCCATCCAAAACAGTGCCCATTAGCGATTTCGTTCGAAGAAGAATGATTTCTACGATTCCATTCACTTTATTTCTGGCTTGTCTCGCCCTTGCATTTACCATCTCCTAAAACCATTAAAAAAAAAAAATCTCTCTCTCCCCCCCCCTCACACACACAACAATCATATGCTAATGGTTCTTACCACCAAAAAAACACGGTAGTGGCAAGGGACAGTTAATATCAGGAACGAAACTGCGCCATCGGCCAATTCAAAAGCAAAAGAACCCCAAAAGTGGGCTGGTAGCTTGAAATCTCGAAAGCTAAAATTCAGAAATGTGATCATACCGTAGTCTATACCATTGCTTCAAAAAGACGAACAGATGAGGAGACAGAGACAGAGAAAGAGCTTGCGACGGTCAGAATTAGAATTAGATTAGAAAATTATATAAAACAATTAGAATAAGGTACGAGATTATTTGTTTATACGTAAACACTGCACCTAAATAACGGCTGATCGAAACAGTATTAGGTAGTATATCAGTTTATTTATAGTGAATTTAGTGATTGCGTTTCAATGGCGCTAAACTCAACTGCCAGACCTTTTCTTTACAAAACCGTTAAGAGTACGTAACTTCGAATTATAATTTTTTTTAACAAATTAGCTGTGAAATTTCCATAATTAATGCCTTCGTCCAATCGTCCTATTTATATTAAAAATTTCGCAAAAAATGCATTTATAGTTCTTTAATTTTATATAAGGATTTAGTTTTTTCTGTTAATTTTAAAAAGTATATTTTTAATCATTTAACTCAAAAATTATTAACAAAAGTTGATGACATTGAGATCTTACATGTTAATTAAAATATTCTTAAATACTGATATATTAAATTTAAATTTTAAAATAACTATGATTATTAAAAAAATCATCATTTAAAACTAACAATAATTTTATGATTAAAGAACTAAAGATATATTTTTTAAGTTAATGAATCAAACCGAAACTTTATATAGAATGAGAGGATCAAATATATGCTTTTGGTTGAAAAATTTTTAGAATGAAATGTTTTCATTTCTAAAATACATTAATAATTTATCAAAATTTTTTAATATAATTCTTTTTTTGCCTCGTTAATTATTTGTTAATCTCACCACATTAATTATCTCACACTACCTCCCTCTGAAAAAAAAGTATTTTTAAAAGATAATGTGCGTTTTTTAGATATTTACTACTTTTAATTAATTTTAATTACATATAATTCGATCACTTGTATCCTGTAAAAAAGAATAAGTTGAAGTAGAGTATTAAATATTAATATCGATATAATGAAGATGAAGAATAATCTATTAAAGGGATGAACATTCTTAGATTAATAATAATTTAATTAGACATCTCATGTGCCGAACCAATCGAAAAACTTGTGTGCTTAAAGTCATTAACAGATTAAGGCCATCCTCTTCATATATAAGACGTATATGTGAATTAAGAAATGCAAGAATAAAGTTTAAGCATATTTTGCTGATTTTAAGTGTAAATTGAAGTCTTAAATTTAAAACTAATTTAAATATTAAACTAGTTCTTATATAGAAGATAATGCATATATAAATCAGATATTCTTGGTGGATTTTGCAGGTTCGCAGTGTATCAATTGGTTTGAATTTATTATGAATATCATTTTGTCTTCGGTCCCAAAAAAAAGAATTAAAGCGTTCCAACGGATTCGGTCCCATGCTTCATTCGTATTGGATACTCTCATTCTTTACATCTGGGGATTCGCACTTAACGTTAAATATAACATTTTTTTATATTTATTATTTTTTTAAAATTAATTTACTTAACTTATAAGCTTATATACTACAAACAGTTCTTGATACAAGATTCAGTTAAATAATTTAGAAAGATTAAGAAAGTTACTAAATTATTTAATTATATCACATGTTACATGATTCTCTAAAAAATTTATGTGGATTATTAAATCATATATCAATTTATAAGTGAGGCAAATTTGTATGGAGAAAAATGATAAATACAAATAGTTTAAAGTAATGTAATAACTTCTTTAATTTTATCAAATTAATGAACTGAGTCTTGTACTAAGAACCGAACGTAGTATTCCCTCCGATCCTAAATATAAAACCCATTTTATAGTATAATTTATCCTATAAAATGGATTTTATATTTAGGACTGGAGGAGTATAATTTATTGTTATACATGAGCATCTTGCAATTTACAAATTTATATTATATTTCGGGAAAATTGCAGTAAAGTTTCACTCAAGGGAATTAAATATAAAAAGATTTTTTGAAATCATCAAATTATTTTGAAGTCCCAAATTGCCCCTTTTTTTAAGTATGAATTGACAACTGAAAGAACAGTTGTTAACAATTTGAGGGGTAACAATTAACTATTATCGCTGTAGGTATTAACAACAAATTGTTTCAACGCATCACAAAAATATAATACATGAGTGGTCAATAGCTGCTGCAATAGTATTAATCATTACACCTTAAATTGTTAACTACTGCATTTTCAGATGTTAATGCATATTTTAAAAAATGATGATTTCAAAGGATTATTTTGTAATGAGGTCCCTTAGGACTTTAGAATAATTTGATGATTTCTAAACATTTTTTGTTTTTAATTCTCTTAGGCAAGACCTGATTGTAATTTTTCCTTGTATGTTTCATAATTAATTAATTAATTTAATGTTCTTAATATATTTAAATTAATTGAATAGAGCTATCTTTAAGTAAACAATGACCAATGAAAATGTGATAAATGGTGAAAAGCCTAGAAGATCTTGTTCTTTAATTAAATTTCAAAGTTCAATATATAAAGAATCTAGGTGACAATTATTATTTTAAAAAAAACTTAGGTGAAAAATTCGTCTGTACAGAAAATGCTGATTTGGTAATATAAATAAAATTGTATTAAGACAATGTCTCTTGATTTGAAGAAATTTTAAGGATATCGACGTTTTGCTGTAACCATGATATGAAGAATTATCTTCAGGCCAAAAAAAAAGATATGAAGAATTATCAAGCAGCAACTAAAATTAAAGTTTTGTTGGTTATGAGCAAAAGAAAAATCTGTTAAGCGATAACACATACGAGTTACCGAGTTAGGAACAATAATGATAATAAAAATTCATATATCCATATTAATATATGAACTTCCGCAAATCATATTCTTTACTAATTATATGTAATTTTCAAGGAATATAAATTTATCAGAAATTCAAAATAAAAAAAACTCAAATTATTATAGTAACTCTCAATAAATTATCTAAGTGACAGGTTTTTTTTTTTTTTTAAATACATTTTCAACGCTTGCATGCGCGCAAAGGGATCAATGTCGAATTTGAGCATAGGAAACTCGTTCTATTTGCAAATTTAATTTATTACTAATTTGGGCCCCATATTTGCAAATTTAGCTTATTTTTACTTGAAAAAAAAATATAAAACTAATTTTGGCCCCATTTCCATGAATTCTTTCACCCAAACCAAAACGAGTTATCCCCAGGATTATATGCCATGAACATATGAAGCCAAGATTGAGAGCAAAATTAAAAGAAGGAAGCATGAAAAACGAAAAATTGTGATGCATGAGGGTTTTGCCCCTGTAATGCCACAATTGCATGGCAGGTTACTACCCTTTCATCTTTCTCTCAGCTCTCAACTTCTGAGTCTCTCAGCTGATATCAGAGTTCAGAGGCATACGTAGCTCCTGGCAAACACTGGCTCCTGTGTTGCTCTTGAAATTAACTCAAACTTGGAGGGCCTGGAAGTAAAAAAGAGGAGGGGGGAAAAAAAAGAGGAGGGAAAAGTCTTTTGGTCAGGTCTTCTCAGTCAACCGTTCGTGGGGAAAAGTAGTTGTCACATTCAACTTTAGAAACTGAAAAGTTGTGGTGTCTGGTGAATTATAATTACAGAGAAGTGAAACGAAACTTCCTTCCTAGATCGCCGTTGCTGCTGTGCGAGTTCTGCCGCAGGTTGGTAAGCTTTGATTGATTACCCTGCTATCGAACTTTGAGTCTCTCAGCTGACGCCAGAGGCATCCCTAGTTCCCAGCAAAGTAGCAAATACCAGTCCCAGCGTTTATTTATCATGGCAAGTCGAGAACTACCATCCCCCTCCTTTGCCGGTGAATGGACTTACGATGTATTCCTTAGTTTTAGAGGTGAAGATACCCGCACCAATTTTACTGGCCATCTCTACAATTCTCTAAAACAAAAGGGTGTTCAAACCTTCATCGATGATGTGGGTCTCCAAAGAGGGGAAGAAATCACTCCAGCTCTTCTCGAAGCCATCCGACAATCGAGGATTGCCGTCATCGTTTTCTCCAAAAATTATGCATCCTCTACTTTCTGCCTTGATGAACTCGTCAACATACTTCACTGCGTCAGAGGAGAAGGTCGGTTGGTCTGGCCGGTGTTCTACGATGTTGATCCATCAGATGTCCGACACCAGCGTGGGAGT